TTTCACCAGCAGCCCAGAGCTGGAAAATACACACGTGAAACCATTTTCTTATTTTCACTGTATAAAGAAATACTAACATTTTGGCAAGTGCTGAATGTTTTTTAAATAAAACTCCTCAGATCTCCTTAATGATACTTGAAGTGCGATCCACACAGTAGAAACCACCCTCACAGTCTGAGAAGACTGAAGTTGCAAGCTGTATAGTAACCATAAAACTATTTGGTACAACCCCCAGATTTTGATTTCCTAGCAATGTACCATAAACTATGTCATGTTAAATTTGATGGCATAAATGGGCCCAGAGAGTCAAAGGTGTTAACATGAGCCTGTCCCAGTCCAACACTAACCAGTTAAATATGGTTTGAGTTTTGAGTACAGAGACTTTGGCCCCTTAGGGGGAAAAAAAAAGGAATAACTAAATTAAATGATCTCTAACCACCCTGCAGGATCAAACCATAAAGAGTTCAGTTTGGTGCTATTCCTTATCTTTAAACTACTAATTAGGAACACACAAATCAGTCACACAGTTGTGGGGGTGGCAGCCATGATGGTGAAACTTGCTTCTTTCAGTCCAGCTATCCCAGGTGTGTTGAGCCTCCCTTCCCAACGTTTCTTTTTTAAGGATGGCAAAAAGGGCTGGTGGGTAGTATAGGCCACCCTCTCATTATTTTGTCCACCAATTAGGCCTAATTTCTGACACCCCAATTTTGGTCCAATAGTTTCCCATTCCATTCTCCTTTGTTTACCACTCACAATCTTGACATAGTCCTGGGAGAGACCTTTGTTTGGACTAATTCATTCTGTATTTAATTTTTGCTGACTTAATTTTTGCTGACTTTTAAAAGCAATTTTATGTAACCGGCAGAGTTGTACTTTTGTTACTTTGTACAATTTAGAGAACAGGCCTCTGCACAACAATTATCAGATAGTGCTTTGGGGCATTGGCTCTCCAGCAACACGCTGCAAACCACCAGATAATGCCTCTCTGCAAAGGAAAGCCACCTCAGAAACTTCAAACAAACCTTTGGTACCCCGTTAGTGGTACCCCATCAACTCCTCAGTCTTGAGCAAGAGTTTAAGCTGCCAGCTGGAGAACTATGCTCTGCTTTGCCGCTCCCAGTAAGAGCTCTATACAGAAAGCATAGCTAACAAGTTTAAAATACCATCTGCTAGTTCCCACCTAAAGCTTTAAAATACCATAAGGTTGAATGTTTGTACTATGCAGATAACGTTCCAGAAGAATCACCCAGGTACTCTCACCATAAGAAGAACTAAAAATGGAGAATAATACTAAGAGAAAAAAAATCACTGCTTAACACACGTGGTACACAGCTTGCAATTTGTTAACCTGTTATTCGCCCTTTCAATGAACAAACCAGACTCCAGTTACCACAGACTCTCAAACTTCCATATTCTCCAGTTTTCAGCCAGACTTCTTTCTATTTCTGAGTTAACTTTTCTTGACCACAGAATTCTAGCTTATTCAGCCGAGTTAGTGTTTCTGTGACACCTCTGATCATGCTTTGGAAACTATACAAACCAAACTTCACTGACTGCCACTCTTCTTATTCAGAAACATTAATTAAAAATCCTTTTGCTACTGAGATCCTAAGTGCCTTCACAGAGAAACAAGCTTTAGAGTTAATAATGGCTTTCTGGCTCAGAATCTGTTGATAGTACCTTTCCAGATGATGCAGTCATCCTGGGTACTGTTTCATTAAGACACAGGAGTTTCTTATACGGGAACCATAAATAGAAAACTAAGCTACACAACACATTTTACAAGCATTTTTATTTAAAAAGTAATAACCTCCAAAATGTGGCCCCTCTGGATGAGTCAGGAAAATAAAAACATAAAAGTAGCTAAACAAATCTGTGCTTTAATAAATCCGCAACAGATGGCTTCTATATTAGCAACAATGTAGCCATTTACAGGCTTGTTATCCACTCTATATCCTGCCCAAAGGCATTTATAATCTAAAACTGCTTGCAAGGAAATAAATGTCCAATCCACCCACCTACCATTAGTTTCCACTCTTGCCATCAAAACACTCTTCAGTCAATCTTGTATTATTAGCCACTGGGGCTGTAAAGATGATGTTTTAGGCCCTATTTTGTTTTGGAAGAAACCCTTTTAGAACAATGCAGGGTGCGAGGAGGGGTGAGCCACTATCTGCCAGTTAATTGTTTGGGACCCAATTCAGGAAAGCACTTAAATACATTCTTATGTTCAATTGACGTTGAACAGTCATGGAGAACAGTTACTGAATAGCACAGGAGTCAAATTTCAGTCAAAGCTCTCATGAGTGGATGACATTGTGATCTGGAGTCAGGGACATTTCTTTTCTCTTTGATTTCAGCAACGATCCTAATATGCAATTTGCTATAGTGAACAATACTGCACAGTAGCACTGACTGACTTAAGGGCTTGTGGACATGCAAACGGAAACTAGGGTGTAATTTTTTCTTGTTAATGTGTGTCTTGTAGCTTCTGGGAGTATTAATATCCTCCCTTAATGGCAGTCTTATTGTTGCTTTTATTCACATTTCAGTCTAAAAAGATAATGCTTCTCAGTTTTAATTCCAATATAGAAGACATATACAGTATTTGAAGACTAGTGGAGACAGTTTTAACTGCTTTCCTCTCATCCAGTGTCAATGTTGTTGTTAACGTAAGAATCTATATTTTATAACATGAATTCAGCTAATGATTACACATAATGCACCATGGCCAATGATGATAAATGCAAAGTAATGCACATTGGAAAACGTAATTCCAACTATACATATAAAATGATGTGGTCTAAATTAGCTGTTACCATTCAAGAAAGAGATCTGGCAGTGGATAGTTCTCTGAAAACATCCACTCAATGTGCAGCAGCAGTCAGAAAAGCTAACAAAACGTTGGGAATCATTAGGAAAGAAATAGATAAGATAGAAAATATCATATTGCCTCTATATAAATTCATGGTACGCCCTCACCTTGAATACTCTGTGTAGATCTAGTCGCCCCATCTCAAAAATGATAGATTGGAATTGGAAAAGGTACAGAAAAGGGCAACAAAAATGATTAGGCATATGGAATAGCTTCCATATGAGGAGAGATTATAAGACTGGGACTTTTCAGCTTGGAAAAAGAGACAACTGAGGAGGGATATGATGGGGTGATAAAATCAAGACTGGTGTGGAGAAAGTAAATAAGAGTTATTTACTCCTTCTCATAACACAAGAACTAGGGGTCAGCAAACAAAATTAATAAGCAGCAATAAAACAAAAGGAAGTATTTCTTTACACAACAAACAGTCAACCTGTGGAACTCTTTGCCAGAGGATGTTGTGAAGGCCAAGACAATAACAGGGTTCAAAAAAGAACTAGATAAGTTCATGGATGATAGGTCCATCAATGGCTATTAACCAGGATGAGCAGGGATGCAAAACCATGCTCTGAAGTGTCCCTAGCCTCTGTTTGCCAGATGTTAGGCATGGGCAATAGAAGATGGATCACTTTATGATTACCTGTTCTGTTCATTTCCTCTGAAGCACCTGGCATTGATCACTGCACGTCCACCAATGTTATATATGCCATCATGTGCCAGCAATGCCCCTCTGCTATGTATATTGGCCAAACTGGACAGTCACTATGCAAGAGGATAAATGGACACAAGTCAGATATCAGGAATGGCAATATACAAAAACCTGTAGGAGAACACTTCAACCTCCCTGGCCACACAATAGCAGATCTAAAGGTAGCCATCTTACAGCAAAAAAACTTCAGGACCAGACTCCAAAGAGAAACTGCTGAGCTCCAGTTCATTTGCAAATTTGACACCATCAGATCAGGATTAAACAAAGACTGTGAATAGCTATCCAACTACAGAAGCAGTTTCTCCTCCCTTGGTATTCACACCTCAACTGCTAGCAGAGCACCTCACCCTCCCTGATTGAACTAACCTCGTTATCGCCATACTGATTTATACTTGCCTATGGAAATTTCCATTACTTGCATCTGATGAAGTGGGCATTCACCCAGGAAAGCTTATGCTCCAATACTTCTGTTAGTCTTAAAGGTGCCACAGGACCCTCTGTTGCTTTTTGTCGGAAGACAGGATACTGGGCTAAATGAACCATTGGTCTGACCCAGTATGGGCATTCTTATGTTATGTCCACACTGACATTTGAGTCAGTATAAGTTATGTCGCTCAGCGGGGTGGCTAATTCACATCCCTGGGTAACACAACTTATGTCCACGTAAGCCATAGCGTAGCCATATCCTTAGTGTTTTTATCATTGTGTGTGTTACATGTTTACAGGGCAGATACGAAGACAAAGTTCTTGGCCTCAAAAAACTTCCACTCTAGATAACGATGCTGAGATTTTCAAAGCAACCTAGGCAATTTGGATCACTATCAATTTTAATGAAAATTGGGCATCCAAATCCCTGTGTAGCTTGAAAATCTCAGCTTCAGTGCACAAATACAAGAGAGAACTAGAGCAGTGCGATGAAATGGTGATGTTTATGAAGTATGTATCTTGTTAGCTCTGTGATTTTTGCTTGGAATTTTTTATTTTTAGTACAGAATTTCTATTGTCTTAGTTTAACAATTCTCTGAGGGGAGGACTGGGGTTGAAAGGCATGTGTTATATGCTGCAGTGAAATTATTTGATTATCCATTACTTTTACTGGTGCTCATATGTCATCCCATAAATATGAGGTTGTAAAATTATATCTAAATATATACTACATACTAAGTTCTAAAAAAAAATTAGACATAACCCTGTGCCCACTTAAAAACTGTCTTCAGACTCATTTGTGTTTATGTTTGGAATTATTATACCACGGTAATCTTTTCAAAAGCACCTAAGTGACAGGCTCTTAAGTCCAAAAGAGGGGACCTGGGAGCCTAAGTCACTTAGGTGCTTTTGATAATGTTGCCTCCAGTGTATAATGCTTGTACATGAGACCAGAATTAGGCCCAAAGACTTGCATAGTGTACAAATAAATACAAAGCAAAAGGATTTTTATTGAGCAAATACCTTATTACAAAAGGCTAATCAAAGGATTTCATTAGACAGACACTTAGATGAGACTCACCACACTATACGAAACTTTTGGCTGTATTTAAAAACCCATTACTGTCTCTTTGTAAAATCTTTTATTCACTGTTGGTTCAGCTTCTTATTTAATCAAAAACTGGACACCTTTACTAATTTCCTCACACCCATAAGGAGGGTCTTGAGTTCGCTCATTGCTGGAACATGTAGTTTTCCAGAGGACATATCCTATGCTGAGTGACTGAATCTACAGGAAATCAAAAAGAAATATGTTATATACTAGCATATTAGGATGAATACATAGCAAATAGCTTCTTATTAAAAAGGAAATATATGCTTTGTATAACACAATATACACTACTAACAAAATAATCAACTCAGCAGATTGAATTTTTGGTATAAAGTACCTTTGAGGAGCTGAGAACATACGGAGTGAGAAGGACCATAAAGATATATACTAGTGGTATAATATGTACACTGCACACACCTCTAATCTCCTTTTTTAAAAAAAAATGTATTTCACTCTCAGGTATCAAATGTGTGATTGATTGTAGGACTAATTTATTCAGTAGCGAACAGCTGGCATTAGGTGTGGAAAGCAGAACGTTTATAACCAGAAACTAACTAGATTACATAAACTAGGGATACATTCTGATAACAATAAGAGCATCAAAATTGGATAAATCCCTGGGTAATATATGTCTAGCCATTTGACTGGATTTGTATTTGTACAAATCTGATATCCCACATACTTTCAATATTAGATTATAATATATAATGGGGAGAGGGATAGCTCAGTGGTTTGAGCATTGGTCTGCTAAACCCAGGATTGAGAGTTCAGTCCTTGAGGGGGCCACTTAGGGAGCTGGGGCAAAATCAGTACTTGGTCCTGCTAGTGAAGGCAGGGGGCTGGACTCAATGACCTTTCAGGATCTTTTCCAGCTCTATGAGATAGGTATAGCTCCATACTATATAGATTGGAAGGGACACATTTTCAAACAGATCTGTACTCAGCCTCCACTTTTTCTTGGGTCTGTACAGACACTTACAACTTATAGGTACACATACCTGTGTGCACACTTTAAATATTCTAGGTGTGGATGTACAAACCTAAGTGTATACCTAAAAAACTTGCATCTATTGGAATTGATTTAGGATTGGATTAATTGATATGAGATTTTGGGTCAGCCCATTATAAAGATATGGCCCTTTTGCAAAATTGAGAGCCTAATTTGGATGTTGACAGCCCCTCCTGCAAACTTCAGTAATGTTTGGATTCAGAGATCTGGTTCAGGCCCAACTCTAAAGCACTATAAAGAGGTGAACTAGGAGAGTAACTACTTCATTACAACTAGACATGGCAGAATTAAAAAAAAAATTTTTTTTATAAATTTGACAGACTATATCAATGTTCATTTTAAGCATTTTTTTTTACCATCAATTTGAATTTTTACAGTTCCCATAGTTTTGGGTTTTAAACTTTATTCTATTTTTGTAATTTAATTTTTTTATAGTTGTGGGAGATTATGGGGGATCAGACAATTATCTAATGACAGTAGATGTTGAGATTCAAAAAGTTAAAAGTTTTATAGCTGTTAAAACACTATTGTCAAAATATATAAAGGAAATATCCTTAAATTAAACTCTAAGTTCTCAAGCAGCAGTTTTTTACTTTGCCTATCAGTATTTTTTCTTTGGTTTGTGTGTGTAGAGTGAAATCTATGTTTACCAACATTTACTGACAAAAATCTAATCCTTCACGCCTAATTATAACAGATTAATTCAATATCCCTAGCAAGATGAAGGGGAATGTTTTAAGTGGCAGGTAATTCCAGCTGAGACTGGTTTTCAAAGAGCTCCACCCACACAACTCTCACAGCAGGATACAAAGGGACAATATGTAACTAATGAAAGGCAAGCAAGGCATTATATAGAACACTCTCACAGCTTAACATACAGAGCAGGACACTTAGGGTATGTCTATGCAGGGATAAAAAACCCACAGCTGGCTCAGGTCAGTTGATTTGGGTTCACTGGGCTCAGGCTCCAGGGCTGAAAAATCGCAGTGTGGACATTCGGGCTTGTGCTAGAGCCCAATCTCTGGGACCCTGCGAGGGTGGAGGGTCTAAGAGCTCAGGCTCCAGCCTGAGTCCGAACGTCCACACAGCGATTTTTAGCCCCACAGCCCATGCCCCACGAGCCCAAATTAGCTGACCTGGACCAGCCGTGGCTGTGCCATGGATATTTTATCTCCGTGTAGTCGTACCCTTTCCTACTGAGGGCCGTAAATGAACTGTTTCATATACAGTAATTACCAAGCATTCTTTTAACAGCTTGATTTTCTTTCTGCATTGGGAAGGAGATCAATTAAATGAACTAAAAATATTTTCTAGCTCATTTATTTTTTACATGCTGACAGCGTGGGTTGGTGCTGTATAAGTCCACACCACAAGGAATTTACAATGTAAACAGACAACTGGCCTGAGAGAGTTTCTGCTTTGAGCTTGGTTTCACTGTCCCCCTAGGTTCTATGGAAGAATTGGGATCCTCAATTTTGGACCTTAAGAATCTGGCAGGAGAGGCTATACGGTACACCATGGAATTCATATAATTCAGAATTATATGTATATGAAATATTTTTAGATATGAACTAAAGCTGCAAAAGCACTGATGTGCCAAAGCATCCTTCTTACAGGCATAGATTCACCCAGTGAGAGGTGCTAGTGCACTGCACTCTTTCCAGATGCTGATGTTTTAAGGCTGAGGGCCTGGCTCACCATCCTTCCATGGTGCCAATGGATTATGTACCTAATGGTTCAAGTACTTGTGCATATTTTTACTTTAATGACCGTTTCTGGCAGTCAGGTAGAGGACACATCTCACCTCCAGAGCCCCTAGTCTCTATATATTTTAAGGCTCTTGTGCCAATATTGATCTTTTATTAAAAATTGTCTGGAAGGTGAAACAATTAAAAAATAACAGAAGTCAGATGTTTAAAGTGGAAGAATGCAATGATAAGGAAATCATGATGAGGCTTTATCATTTGAGCAAGAACTATTGTATTAATTTCATCATCAGAATTTAATATAGTAGCAGGCTGTACTACTTGAAAAAGGCACAGGAGAAAAAGTGGATCCCTGGACTAAAATTATGGACCAACACGAAAACAACACAAACATTACTCTCCACACCCATTGGTTATGCATACATTGTTAAATGGATGTTAGAGTGTCAGTCTGGATTATTATTTCTGTCCATCTGAAAGTTATGCTTGAAATACTAATATGTCCAAGTGTATTGTTTAATTTACTACATCACAGTTCCAGTCTTCTCCTCATGCCCTATTTCTGGTTCTCTGGAGTTCTTACATACCATACAATGCTGTCTCGTCTTATCTTTCCTTTTTTTGACACAGCTGTTCTTTAATTCTGTTATGACTTTAGAGAGTGTCTTTCACATTGCAGATCAATCTAAATAGGAACTCACTTGTCTTTCAACTCTTCAATAATTTTATCTTTTATAAAGTATGAAATATACTTTTGTTTTGACAAGTGTTTTCTCCCTTACAACCCAGGTTTTCTTTCTGCTTCAACCTTCAGCAGTGTTCTTACTCAGACTTTGCAACATTATGATCAGACTGATTTATTTAACAAATAAAAGCTTTAGTATTTGCTGTAAAGCAGAAAGTAAAGCTAGCTTATTAAGAAGACTGTTATTCAAAACACAAATATCTTATTTTCTTATGTTGTATTATGCAAAAAGATTCTTTTTAGGAGGCGAAGACATGGAGCTAATCTAAAAGATAAATACTCTCAGGACTGTGAATCCCAAGTAGATCACCAAAAGTTTTCTTCTGTGGGGATATTGCAAATGTACACTCAATTTACAGCAAGAACGTCAAGCTTAAAACTAATTTCTATGGTGTCTTAGGAAAAACCACAGGACAAGCAACTCCCAGGAACTCAACACCCACAGATTTTAGCAAGAATTTTTCTTCAAGCAGAGTGATAGTCGTAGCAAAGAACATTTCAGACATGCATATTAAATTACATATTATATACTTTAAGGCAGATCCTCAGCTGGTGCAAAATGTCAGAGCCTATTGAAGTCAACAGAGCTATGACAATCTGCACTAGCTGAGCATATTCCCCACATATTTTTATAATCTTGAAAGACAAATTTTTCACCAGACATTTCAAGAGAGTGGTTCCTAAGTGTTTTCTCATAACCTACTTTAATTAGACAAGTATCACATTTAAATGAAACAACTCCCATGAAATATGGAGGGCACAATTTGAAGTAATTTGTACAGCACTATATGCTAGGTCCAATTCATAAAGGTGGGTCCTAAGATCAACACAGCCCAGCCCTAATTTTACCAGAAAGTCCCTGACAGCATGTAGTCAGGTCTTCCTAAAGGGTAACAACTGTAGCACAGTCTGTCCATTTTCTTCTCTCCACACTCTCCCTCTGGTAATCTTCCCATACTTAGGGCTTGTTTATATGGAGCAGCAATGCTCAATACGAAGATGCAATTTCTAAAATTCACTTGTGCATTAATTGGTCTGTGTAAACCCTGCTGGTACATACTAAAAATTCCCTAGTGCTCTTGAATGTAGTGCACAACACTACATTAAGGTCCAATAGGAACTTTAGTGAGCAGCAGCAGGGTTTACACAGACCAAGTGCATTATACTAAAGCGCAGTAGGGAACTTTTAGTACACACCAGCAAGTCTACAAGGACCAATTAATGTATAACACATTAGTGTGCTTTTGAAATCACATCCCCCGTACAGCATATTACCACACTGGGTAGAAAAACCCTTAGCACATTTGAAAGCACATTTCATAATATTATATTGAGCTGAAATTAAATCTCTTACCTAGTATCCATTTTTCTGATAAATATTTTATTTCAGGTTGCTTCTTTCCCAAATATTCTCCAATGTAGATTTTGGCCTGTCGCAGGGTTTTACATATTTTTCCTCCACACAACTGTACAAGTTCACTTAGCTTGTCACATGGCGGTTGACTGGCAAGAGATATAAACATTACAGGCTGACTTGAAAAGAGGTCCTGCTGATATCTTCCTGATGACAGGTGGCGTTGAAGTCTGCAGATCTGTTTTTAAGGCAACAAGGAAATTAAGAACTAACATGTTTCAATTACATTTATAAGCAGCAAGTGAAGCTAGTCTTTGCATTTAGGAAAAGAATTTCAGGATATGAAAACAACTCTTTACATTCCCAAGTAAACTCTTGGGTAAGTCGTACCATGATTAGCTAACGATCACTAGATATTTATTTTTTTATTTATGACTTTTTTTGGCTTGATACAAAAGCCAAAATATCCATGTGCCACTTATTTGATTTCCATAATCTAGCCAGGTATTTATTCAATACTCACTCTAACATGGTATTTGAATACCTTACAAGTGTATAAATCCGGCAGGTAGTTTACAGATAAGCTCTACCTTTGGTTCTCTCCCTCCCTTTCTTGAATGCGGTGAGAATGGTGGGCACTTTTTGGCTTTTAGGAAGTAATTCCACAAGTATCGGCAAGATGCTGAAAAACCTCTATCTCCTGCTTCTGGTTATAGACAGATCATTGTTCCAAGGGAGCAGAGTAAATGGTCACGAAGTATTTTGAGAGAGCCCAGGTCCAAGCCACTGGAAGGCTTTGACCATTAAGACCAACACATGAAAAACTTAATCCTGTATTTTACTTTGAGCCAGTTGTAAGAGGCATTAAGGGAAACCTTTAAAAATAGGCCTTGTCTGCACTAGGGGCTTTAGCACTGATGTAACCATGAACGTGTGTAAATGCCTAACCTTAGCTCCATTGAAATCAATGGCAAAACTCCCATTGACTTAAAAAGGGACAGGATTTCACCCCTGGTATCGAGATGCACTATGCTGCTGTAAGCCACAGCTTGTGCTGGTGCAGCTTACACTCAGGTTTACCCGTGGAAACGATATATGTGTAGTTACACTACTGCTAAAAACTCCAGTGTAAACTGGGCCTTGGGAACGTGAGATATGGAACGTTAATGAATCTTGATGGAAGTTGGTGCTGAGCATTCTTAGTCACAATCACCCACATCCAATTTGGGTTGAGAAAATGTAGCTGACTAAGTGTAAGGGCCATATTCAAAACATCCTAGATTTGTATTGTTGGAAGAAGCTGGAATCAGCTGCAGAGCTGAAAGAGCCCAACATATTTCAAGGAAAAGAAATGTAGTCCTGAACCCGGGGAAAAAACAAAAACAATATTTTCCCTGCAGGGCCACTGTCTATATTTGCTTAGAAGGTTTGGTAGTTATAATGAAGTGAAAAAAACCTAGGCAACCAGAACATGGAATCAGGGAAAATATGCCATGGTAAGGCTAAAGACCCCTTTGTGACCTCCCCCACCCTCCCCATGTGTGGAGGATTAAGCAGAAGAAAGGCTGGAATTATGGTAAAGAATACCAGAGAAGTTTGTTCAATCTAGGATCAAACTGGGCCAATAATACAGAGAATGAATGGACAGAAGATTACTTAAAACAACCAAATCCAGATTTAAGATTAATGATATATGTGTATATATAATGGGACTATTACACACTGTACCTCTTGCATGCAAACTCTTTCCATCTTTAGAAGACTTTTTACATGTATAACATAGACAGAGAAAAGGGAAATCCTTTACAAATACTGTGCAGTCCTTGACACTATTAATGTGGTTGTGTACTTAAAATTAAACAAGAAAAAAGCTGATTGATATACATGAGGAGTGTCTAGCAATTTCTTCTCCTGGGTAGGTTTGGTATACTCTAGAACCTTTTTCCTTCTGAGGCCCCCCCCTAACATGCTATAAAAACTCCATGGCCCACCTGTACCACAACAACAGGTTTTCTGCATATAAAAGCCAGGGCCGGCATTAGGGGGTAGAAAACAGGGCAATTGCCTGGGGCCGCCTGCCACAGGGGGCCCTGCAAAGCTAAGTTGCTCAGGCTTTGGCTTCAGCCCCAGGTGGCGGGGCTCAGGTCCCCAGGCTTCAGCCCCACGCGGTGGGGCTTCAGCTTTCTGCCCTGTGCCTCAGCAAGTCTAACGCTGGCCATGCATGGAGGACCCCCTGTAACCTGGTGGTGGCCCCCTGGTTGAGAAACACTGCTCTAGAAAGGGCAGATGTGGAATGAAAAACCATTTCCTTTAGCTCAAATATGAAGTTCAGAACTATTCTGGTCAGGTTGCTACTGCAAGTACTAAAGACTAACCATTACCCCTAAACTATCTAGAGCTGAAATAATCAAACCATTATAATAAAAGGGGTTTTTATAAGCCAATTAGTTGCAGTACATAATGACTTGAACATTAGGACAGGTGTTCAAAATGATGTTCATAAAGATGACAGATGTATGTTGCACCAGTTAAAGTCTTTTCAGTGTCTGTGATTTCACTTCCCGGTACAGTACAATACAGCAATCAAATCTGGAGGTCACAAATACATGGAACATCACATCTAAGTCTTTGTCTGCCAGAATTAGGTAAAGTCTCATGGCCAGCCACAGGAAGAAGGCAGCATTTTTTTAAAAAAACCACCACAACAGCTGCTATTTAGGTTTCCAGTGTAAGTATAGGTTCTAGGAGGACACTGTGCTACATACCACTTGATCAGTGAGAGGGCAGATGTCCTTGTTGACTAGTTCATTGAAATATCTGCCTCAGGCCAGCAGCACCACCTCAGTCTAGTTCAGGTTTAACAACATATACAATAAATGCACAAACTGATAACTGGACATGCCAAACCTATCTGATATTTTTTGTCCCTGTTTTCCTTGTTGAAGCTTGACAAGAGCTACAATTGCCAATACAAGAGGAGATGAAGGCAAAAATAAAAGTTTGTGCACAAGAGTAGCTGAGATGTTGTTTAATGCTGGAAATTTTTCACCAATGTGAAAAATAGGGAAATAATCTGAACAGTGGACTCCTGACTTTGACACTGACTCACTGTGTCACTTTGGGCACTTAAGATCTTTGTGCTTTAGTTTACAAATCTATGGAGTCAAGATAAAAATGCTCACCTAATTTACAAGGGGTTGTGAAGATTAATTAATGTTTGTAAAGAGCTGTCAGATCCCCAGATAAAATTACAAAGCAGGTTTATTATCTTTATAAAAGGGAATTTCTTAGTGTTCGTGATCAGTGCCAGAGGAACAGTGAAAAACAAAGCCCATGCTGAGATAGCACAGGCAGTAGTTGCACAATCTCCATCTATGTCATTCTTCAGAGAAGTCGGTCCTATTGAGAAGTGGTATCTCCAGAAATGAGGGTACAACGTTTTATGCTCATGAAATCCTTGGCTGTTCTGCTGAAACCACAAACAGTTAATTTTCCATAAGCTGGCTTGCAGGACATTTTAGAGAAGCCAGAAGCTGATATAGTTAAGGCAGGCCAAAAAGGCTAAAATGCGGTCAAAAATGTGTTGTAGCTATTTATTCTTATGTGAATGTACAGTGTTCAAACAACATATGCATAACTAAGGTCAAAGAGAGCTTTCCCAACTGACTTCAGTGAGTACATGCTCAAGGCCGTAATACACTTTGCAATTTCTGATGTGCAAATAAAAGGCAGGATTCTGATATTCCTGTGATTGCACTCACTCACTTTGATGAATTACCAGTTATTTCAAAATGTGTAAATCACCAAGCAAACATAAAAATGCTTCAGTTAAAAAGAATTCAGGTAAGAAGTTCAACAAATTATACACTATACTCTAATGAAAACAACCCAGAAACAGAGACTCATGATAAACACAATCCTATCTTTGGTGGCTCAAATAGCCTTTTTCTTCCATCAGAGAGAATTGAGAACATCTACTAATCTCCTGAGTTGTTTATTTAGACAAATCAGCTACATCTGAAAGGAGAAAAAATAATCACCAAGAGACATTAATTTAGTGTTAGTTTATCTAAAATTAACAATCAGACTTGATTCCAAGGGACCTTTGTGCTCAACTTGCCATGCTGCTTTTGTTAGCCTGGAGCTCTAGGGTTTCCAAGATGAAACTGATTAGGATTGACAAGCTCTGTTTATGTTAAAAACCCAACAGGACATGAGTTTCTTAGATGGAAGACATACAATGTAACTTGATTGTAATCCTGCTGTTTCACACATTTTACAGGACATGATTTTAAAAGGTCTGTTGTATTCCCACTTCTTCAAACATTTTCCCCGAATGCATTTATTGTTGAGGTGACTCATAATGAAAAGTTGTTTTATTTGTACAGTGGGTCCTACTACTGGAAATACACTTGGATTAAATTAATATTAAAGGCAAAAAATTGCATGAATGTTATGTTAAAAATTTGCACAACTAATCACAAAGAGTCTGGAATGCAAACATTATGATTCCAACAGCAACATTAGGTCAAACTGTGTTGTACAATTCATGTGGTTTGGTATATATGTTTATGTTATAAATGCTAAGGTTGGGATTTTTAAAGGAGTTAAAATGCTGAAATCCCTTTGAGATAGCACCTACCCACTTTAGCCTCTTTTGAAAATCCCAGAATAATGTATTAATATATATATTGACTGGAATAATAGGAACAGCATATTGTACATTGTGCAATATGACCAAAATAAAGTTTCTGTTTAGACCTTAAATGTTGCTTTTCCTGCCGCTTGTAATTTTAAATGCAGCTTTCCAGCCAGATTATGCTTGGATCCTGCTCAGGTGTACAACAAGGAGAGAAACTCCTTGCTCTCTTCATCCAGAGGCTAGAAATAATTGAAACCCCTGTATTCAGACAGCACAAGGACTCTGCAGGGCTAGCATTGCTTTCAAAGCCAGCCTATGCATAGAGGAGTGGAGGTAGCCAGATTTGGAAGAGAAAACATATTTCACACTCTGGAAGCCATTTGGCCACCCCCAACTTGGACTAGAGATTGAATGGCACAATCCACCTCTTCAAATTGAATTACCCTTTGTAACATCAAAGAGTTTGCAGCACTCCAGGGCTGCTGCACACCCTTTGATTTTTTTTTTTAAGTTTGAGCAAAATCTCTATAATTTCAATCCTAATCAGAGACCAAACATGGGAAAATTCAGCCCAAAGAAGTGAGTATTTCCACAAA